GCTGGCGTTGGTGGCCGCGCTGCTGGCCGCGGGTTCGGCCAGTGAGTACGACTATGTGAGCTTCCAGTCGGACATCGGCTCCTACCAGAGCGGCCGCTTCTACACCAAGCCTCCGCAGTGCGTGGACATCCCGGTGGACCTGAGGCTGTGCCACAACGTGGGCTACAAGAAGATGGTGCTGCCCAACCTGCTGGAGCACGAGACCATGGCAGAGGTGAAGCAGCAGGCCAGCAGTTGGGTGCCGCTGCTCAACAAGAACTGCCACATGGGCACCCAGGTCTTCCTCTGCTCGCTCTTCGCGCCCGTCTGTCTGGACCGGCCCATCTACCCGTGCCGCTGGCTCTGCGAGGCCGTGCGCGACTCGTGCGAGCCGGTCATGCAGTTCTTCGGCTTCTACTGGCCCGAGATGCTCAAGTGTGACAAGTTCCCTGAGGGCGACGTCTGCATCGCCATGACGCCGCCCAATGCCACCGAAGCCTCGAAGCCCCAAGGTAAGGGTGCTCCTTCCCACGTCTGCTTGCTCCCGCGTCCAGCCGCACTGACCCGGCTGCAGCGGGGAAAGCCGGGGAGCTGCGCACTGCAGCCTACAAGGTGTGCAGACCCAATCCCGAAAGCTTCTAGTAGGCCCTGGGTCACTTGGCGCTTCTCCTGCCCCAGGTGCCCTGAGATTACTGGGGGAGCCTCGGCCCGTGGGGTGGGGAGAGGGGAGTGCGGACTACCTGGAGCTGCTCTTCCCGGACTCCAGTCTGGCGTTTTCCATACCTGAAACAAAGTTCAGCCAAGGTTTTCAAGAAAAGGAGGGTGCCCATCCTAAGCTTTAAACTTTCGAAACAGAGACTGCTCCCTAAGAAAACAATTCGCTCAAACTGCAGAAAACTCTGACTGAGGGAAAGCTTTGTTTATTTTTATAAATTTGAAAAGTATTTTTTCCCTAAAAACAAAACAAACAGCAACAAAACATCCCCTCTCCTTAGTTCATCTTCCCGTCGTGTTGCAGAACTGGTTGAGGAAGGGAAGTTTAGAAGGAGCCACTTCTGTACCTTCGCCTCTAAATTAAGGCTACAACCTTGAATTTAGCAAATCTAAGGGATGCAAAAATCTCTGGTCCACCGTCCTTGCCCCCCTCTCCCAACCCCCCCCCTCGCGCCTCCCATTCACACAAATCCTTAGGTAATTAGAAAGATAAAAATGTAATTAGCTCATTGTTTATCTCCTCCTGGGGGGTGAGGACCTGCAAATTGGGCGCTGCAAATTCTGAACCCTGGGGGAGCAGAATTTCTTCTGGAGACCCAGTATTAAAGGGAAGGGTTTTTTTTTTTGTTTTGTTTTGTTTTGTTTTGTTTGAATGTGAGAAGGGAAAAAATCTGGAGACTCTAAAACAAAAACAAACACAGAACCCAAAGTAGCTAGCCCTACAGCAGGGGCAGGGGCAGAGGCAGTTACTTGGGGCAGGGTTCTTTTTTTTTTTGTGTGAGATGAGGTCCGGTGGCCTTTATCACAGAAGAGGGCACCCCAAGGCCGTTTTTGAAGACAAAACTTTAACTTATCTTGAAGTGTTGATTGTCTTGGCTTCTGAGGCAGGGTCTTAGTTACTTGGTGTGCAGCCCAGGCTGGCCTTGAACACAAATTCCTCCTGTTTCAGCCTCCTCAGCTCTGGGATGGGCATGAGCTGCCAAGTGCTTCTTGTTTAGTGCCTCATTTGGCTGCCTCAGAGTGAGGATTGGGGTAGCCGTGAGGGAAGTTTGAAGGCTCCTATTCATTCCAGGGAGGAAGGTAGGTCCAAAGTGATTGCCCTCGTCTGGCATGGGCCCCAGCCTGTAAGGTAAATGGTAGCCCTGGGCATCCCTGTCCTCTGGACTGGTATGTGCAGCCTTTTGAGACGGCTCGCTGGGGGTTGAGCATTTCCTTAGACCACAGCACTGTGTCTTCTATCCCCATTGAGTCCCCCCTCCCCCCCAGACCACAGTTTCCTTCCTAGCTCCTGCCTGCCAGGAGAGCCTGTGGCCAGTTTTGCTTGTATTCTGTCCATTCCCCATGGCCGCTGATTGATTGCCCTTTTCTGGGGCTATTGGTGGGCACACAGTGGAAACCTGTGGGAGGCAGCTTTGTGTAAAGCTGCTGATGTTTGGGGGCGAGAGAAGAGGACCAGATGGGGGTGGTGCTGCTTCTGAGGATCCCCCCCAAATCAGTCCCTCCAAAAGACTGGCAGGGCAAAGGGCACACTGGCCCTGACCCCATTTCTGGATGCTTTTGTGTGATTGCACGTCTCTGGTTTGACCTTGCCTAGAGCTCAGGTGGAGCAATTCTTTGCAGAATAAAGAAAACAGTCTCTCTCTCTCTCTCTCTCTCTCTCTCTCTCTCTCTCTCTGTATGTGTGTGCGTGTGTTGGGTGTGCGTGTGTAGTGTGCATGTGTAGTGTGTGTGTGTTGTCTGGCAGGAATGTGACTGCGGCTCATTTCCTTTAAAGTGACTGATTTTTGTGAGAGGTACCAGTGTCTCTCCAGAATGACAAACCATCATCATCAGGGTGTCCCCACATGCTGTGTACCCCCCCTTTGCCCTGCAGGGCTGCCAGACTGTCAGCTGACTGTTAAGCTGTGTGTGTGTGTGTGTGTGTGTAGGGGAAGGTTAAAACAGATTAGATGACTGGTCCTCAGAACCTTACACTAGTGGCCCGGAATAAGACCTGGGACTTTGGGATGCTAGTAAGCTCCACACAGGTGCCTTACTCTGTTTCTCATCCACCCTGAAATTTCAGATTCTCAACACAGCATCACATCTTAGCATATACAAGAGGACTGGAAAATTCTTTGTTACTGAAGGTAAACTTGCTCATGAGAGATGAGCCAAAGACTTGCGTTTCCTCTCTCGCCAACAGCGGCTGCTCACACTACCTTGGCTTCTGTGACAGGGAAGGTAATTGTGCTGTCGGTCCCAGGAGATGGATCTTGGACACACACTAGACTAATTTAGTTGTATGAATGAGCCCTTCTCATTCAGTTGTGTTGTTTGGGCACGTTGTGCATTAAGTCATAGGCTGGAGAGGCCTGGGAGCCCCTACTTTTTCCAGAGGCTCCCTTATGGCACCCCCTTTTCTCCCCTTAGTGAGCTAGCTGCCCAAGGAAAATCAATCTCCCTGCCTTTCCCTGCTCCCATCTCTCCACCCCCACCTCTTCCCCACTCTCTTCACTCCCTATGCACACTGATTTTACCGAGTCATCCTCGTCCTGATTCCAGTGTTGGCTTCCCCTCTAGTTTCTTGTCAGCATTAACAACGTACAATCTCTCCTAGTCTTTGTTCACTGGCTTCACACTTTCCAGCTAGGATTCGGTTTACCTGTCCAATGAAACTAACTCTCAGTAGATTGATTCCTCCTGTGAGGTAGCCTGGCAGGGCCCCAAAGACACACGAGGGGCAGAGATTAATATTGCATTACACATTCTTCTCTCTCTGGCGAAAGCTGCTCAGCTCCTGGCTGCAAGTATTGAGAAGACGGGAAAACACGTTGAACATAACTGGTGATCCACCCCCACCTACCCTGCACCTTCCCCACCAGTAGGACTGATAGTGCTTAACGGTCATCCACAGGCTGAAACATCTGTCCTGTTGGGGTGCAGAGCCTTAGAGGGCCAGTAGAATTGGGGGTGTATGAAGGAGACCAATAAGACTTGCTCTTTATGTTTGGATGCCTTGCTGCTCCTTTGCTCAACATTATAAAATTGAATTTTGCAATGTGATAACTTCTACTTAACAAAGAAAGGCAACCATAAAAATTAGAGCTAGGAAACTCAAACACATAGTTCGTGTTCCTATTATAGGTCACATGGTCCTGTCTATAACTTCCTTTCCTTTTTCTTTCTTTCTTTACATGGAAGCAAACACCATGATGGAGACGTCTGGGTAAGAGGTTTTTGTTATTGTTGTTGTTGAGAAACAGAACCAGATCTCAAGTTCTGGGAGCAAAACAAACATATTTCCAACATCTGGCCCAAAGAGATTTTCTAGCGTCTGCCCCCCCCCCCCAACTTTGAAAGGCAGCTGCTAGGGTATGGTGTAGGTGGAGAGAAACTGGTGGATACAGACTGGAGATGTGTTCCCTGTCTTGGAGGGAGAGGACTGGGAGCAGCTGCATCCCAGCCCCCAGGGTGCCCATGTCAAGTGTCCAAGCCATGGGGAAGGGGGAGGGAGAAGAGATGGTGTTGGTGAGCCACGGGCAACAGGAAGTGAAAAAGGGAGCAAGTGGAGGTCCTCAGCACCCCAAACCCCACATTGACTGCTGTCTCAGGGCTACTGCCTTTCAACTCCAGCTGGGATCTGGCTTCCAGTGTCCAGGGTGTCTGAAACAGACTCTGTTTAGTGTACTTGTGGTTTTCCAGGCCATCAATAAACTGTAAGTTGTTTGATAGACAATGAGGAGGGGGGATTATAGGGAGATGATAGGCTACTTCTACCTTGGTTTCTCCTGTACACTCTTTCTGCCCTTCCAAGGAGGCCTTGGAAGCCACCTCCCACAGGGGCCTAGCTGCCTCTCAGTGTCTTGCCCTGCTTATGTGCGCATGCGCACACACACAGACATACACATGCACATGTGCATGCATGCATGTACACACACTCACAGCATGCATATGCACACGCAAACACACGTGCATGCATATGCATGCACACATACACGCATGCAAACACATATCTATGCTCCTCTTCAAAGTACTTCATCAAAGATCATCTAAAGGGCTTCCTTCTCCTCAGCTCCGTCCTCCATTTGGTGACTCCTGCTAACCCCTCCCCTCCCCCACTCCACAGCCAGCTTTCTGGAGTCCCTATGGCACTTCAGGGCCCTGGGCTTGAGTAATTGAGTATGACTGTTCCCTCGGTCCTTGAGATCTGGTCAAATTGATAGGCTGTCTTGTTCAGGGTTTCCAGAACTGGGGGTGGAGGGGTAGATAAAGGGGAGGGAAGAACTGTTTTGGTTTATAAGTCAGCTTTTTTTCTTTCAGATACTCATAGCAGCCTGGACCTGCCCCTACCCACCTCAGATAGCAGTAGATTAAATAATCGTCACATCCAACATATCTAGGCCACAATGTTTGAAGAAAACATCCATTTGTTTACGCGTCTTTGATCCCTTCATTGCCATTGGCTGGACACCTTTCCAGAATCCCAGACTTTTAGCCCTTGTTAGCCTGGCTCCCATCTGCTCCCTTGCCTAGGGGTCCCCATCACCATGACTTACAACTTCTTTTTCGGCTTGCTTCCCCTCGCTAGGTACAACAGTGTGTCCTCCATGTGACAACGAATTGAAGTCGGAGGCCATCATCGAACATCTCTGTGCAAGCGAATTTGGTAAGCTGGAGGTTCAGCCTCGCGTGGGGCTCTTGGAATCCCTGCCTTTTCCTGTCCTGTGTCTCCACTCAGAACATGGAGCTCATGGGGGGGCGGAGAGCATCGTGTTCGAGCTTTCCCTCCTCTGCCTCCATCTTCTTGTTTTCCCTCTCGGGCAGAAGGAAGTCAAAGTAGAGTGGAGCATGGGCCATCTTTTATTAAAGTTAGGCTACCTACGTCTCTGTCTCAGATTTGGGGAAACCTTCTTTGATGGCAGAGGGAGACAGACTTGGGGACTGGGTGAAGCCCTTCACCTGCTACAGTCAGCCCTGGCTTGGCTTTCTCCGTGGTATGATTTTTATATCCACCCCTAGGTGTCAGCACTACTCTACCCTGGACTAAAAATGGCCCCAGTGTGGGTGGGGTGCCTTCCCAGGAGGGGAGATTTCTGTGCTAGGGGATTCACCAAAGGTCCTAGTCAGGGCCTCCTGGGCAAAGAACATTGATGTTAACACAGGGGTGTGATTTCGCTCCCTCCCTTCTAAGTCACTCTGGGTTGAAGAAGAATTCCAAATCAGCACCTGCAGCTGCCAGAGTGAGGTTAGACTGGGCTAGGGAGCAATTCAGGACCCTGCTAGGATGGCCTCTCTGGCCAATAGGAAAGCCCAATGACTCCCAAACCTGAGCTGCGCGCTTTTGGAATCTGCTCGCCCCATCTCTTGGGTCTCCGCTGCTGGATGTAGAGCAGCAGCCAAGGACGGACCCATTTTGCTGAAGGACAGATTGAGGCAGATACCTGCAATTCCAGGTTGTGTCCCTGGGAGTGGATTTCCCACTTCTTACCCGAGAAAGCATTAAGGTAGCCCCTCCTCTGTGTGTTCATTAGTCCTACAAGCACAAGCAAGAGTCTGATCTTGGGAAGGGCTGTGCTCCAGTGAGCTACATATGTAGGGGAGGGAGCACTCCCAAGCCCCAGGAGTCTGTGTGTCATGGCGCACATATTCACAGGGTATTGGCCAATGTATGTACGGAAGCTGAATTGTTCAAATCTCGTTTGCCAAAGACACCTTAATAAGAATAGATGCTTATTTATTGATTTTTAAAGCTACGTGTGTGTGCTCATGTATGTGGAGGCCAGGGGACAACTTTCATCATGTGGGCCCTGGGGACTGAGCTCAGGTATCAGGCTTGGTGACAAGCACCATTACGCACTGAGCTTATGGCAGCTCCAGTTTTTTAAAAAAGTTATGTTTATATCTGATGGTTTTAATTTTGATATCAAGTGTCTGTATATGCCTTATTTGGTTTCCATTACATTTTGCTGCTGTGCGAGTCACACCCTTTTTTTCCTTGTTGTTTAAAAAAAATTCAGACTTTTTTTTTTTTTTTTTAACAATCTTGAATGTATCCCAGTCTGGCCTATCACTGACTGTGTAGCACAGGCTAGCTTCAGACTCTCCATTCTTTTACATTTACTTCCTGAGTTGTTGAGAAAATAGATACAGGCCACCATACCATATATACCTCCTGCAATTTTATTCTGAGTTCATTTAGAATGTTAACAAGAAGCTGGGTGTGGTGGTGCATGTACCCATCACTTAGGAGTGGGGCCAGGTGGGGGTCTTGAGTTTGAGACCAGTCTGGGATATATAGGTAACATGCAAACGAACATGTTACAGATACACGGAAAGGCTGGTGACTCTTCCACTCCCATCTTGATATTAGCTCTGTTTTGCTCCCCGAGGAGGTCCCCAAACTGAACTCAGCCCAGTGAGTTTCCCTCATACAGCGTATGGATACACAGCCCCATATTGCTATAGCAGCAAGTTTCTCAGTCACGAAGATGCACCGGGTTCTTCCCAAGGATAAACCTGGAAGCAAAGGGACCAGAGATTGCAGAGCAACCCTGGCAGGAAGCCTTTTGTTGCATGGTCAGGGCTGGGAGAAGGGGCTTAGATGTGGCTGAGGTCCCAGAGGGTCCTCGGGAGGGCTAAAGACGAGGCTGTTCTTTCCCATGCCATATCATAGGTCAGAGCGTTCACTTTTACCAGTTGCCCTGATGTTGTGTGAGTTTGGGGAACCATCTCAGATGGAACCCAGAAAAATAACACCTTGCTGGATGCTTCCTTGTGTTTATGGAATTTTATCAGGTTCTGGGAAGAGTGATGGAAATCCCTAAATCTGAATGTATGGAGGTGACCGGTAAGAGAAGGCTTCCTGCTAAGGAAGCTCCCAGCTCAGGGTGTCTGTGTCTGAGTCTTCCTCTGCATATACTCTTTCATCTGGCATTCGTTGAGTACAATGGGCTAGGCTCGATGCTGACCCAAAAATACCTACCTGGAATAAATTAAAATTTAACATCCCAATCAGACCTTCAGCAGTGGTTTTCTATAGAGTGGTGGATTTCAGTTAGAGTGGAGGTTATAGGAATTTAAGTGCCGGGGTCAGCTCAGCATTGCTGAGAAAGTGTGTGTAGGTCTAGAATCTTTGCTGAAATTTTGAACCCCAAATCATCATTAAATCTCCTTTTCTCTCACTTTCTGTCCACAATTCTGTTCCCTGGGGGGTTTGTGGCAGCTAAAGTACATACATTTGGAAGAGGCACGCCTTCAAAAGAACCTGTTATGGTAAGCTTGGTTTTCTAACAAAGGCAGTGCCACAACCCACCCGTGTTGGATGTCCCTCCAGGGCAGTAGGTTCCCGCCAAGCCAGCAAGCCCCCAGGCCTTAAAGGAGTGCCTCATTAGTGACCAGTGGGGCATGGTGAGCAGGAGTGATGGACCCTTTAAGATTGCCTCCTTGGAACGCTAAGAGCGTTTTCTTCTTGGGTTCATGAGGTCCTCCAAGACTTTAGCCTTCATTTTACCACATCCTCACATTTGATGAGCTAGGAGTCGACTTTCCCCCTTGGAAGACTTTGGCTCACTGAGGAACTTGTTTTTTCCTTTCCTGTGAGATGAGGAACAGTACTAGGACCATGGCATGCAGGTGCCCATCTATGCACAGTGATGACTGGGCGGGCTAGGCTTTTCTGAGGGTCGGGAGAGAGTTTCTTGGCTTTTGGCTTGTAAAGTTTTCAAAAGATGATGAATAGGATTCTTCCTTCCCTTTCTCTCTGTGGGGACCGAGCTTAGCCCTGCCCTTCTTAGAAGGCAGCCTTGTTGAGAAACTTGTTGCCTAGCTCGGCTCATTTCAAGGAAGAGAGGCAGTCAGCCACACTGATAGGATTCAGTTAGAACACAAAGACGTTTGACAAAGGCAGGCTAACACACAAGCAAAGAATGTTTGACTCCCCACTCCAGGGATCAAGCTTTATATTAAGTGGCCCTGGTGTCCCCAGTGGGAAGACATCAGTTGCTGGAAAGCATTGCTTCTTAGGGGTGAGCACACACGCTCGCTCATTTGCTCCCTCTTGGTTATATTAAGTGGCCCTGGTGTCCCCAGTGGGAAGACATCAGTTGCTGGAAAGCATTGCTTCTTAGGGGTGAGCACACACGCTCGCTCATTTGCTCCCTCTTGGCTCTTCCATTTGTGCATCTTAGCACTTCCGCAGCCAGCGTGGAGCCAGACACGCCGAGTCTGCTACCTTTCCCCTGAAGGATGCCGTTCCAACCCCGTGGCGGTATTCACTCTGTCCTCTTGCACGCTCCCCTCTCTCAGTGCAGAGTGCATTTTTTCCCTCAACAGGCAAAAACAACAGTAGGAAGTCTGCGCCCATGCTCAGGAATGCTTCAGATCAGCCTGGATCCAGAGCAGCACATGGGGGAGGCCGCGGTCAGCTGACGCAAAACCTTCAGACTCAAAATGGTGGTCACCCGGCTTGCTGTACCACAGTTAGGACCCACAGGTCTGCCTGGAGTCTTCCCTGTGGTTTCCCACTGCACTGTGACTGGGTGCTGTGCTCAGTTCTTAAAGAGGCCAGGGCAGCTTTTGTCAGCTCCCAACAGGATAACCGTGTGGCTGATGGCTCGTGCCCACAGCCTACTCTCTCTAGGTTAGTTTATCTCCGGGAGAGGCTTACCTGATTAATAGTTGCTGCGGGGTTCTTATCCCACATCCAGTCATTTTGTCTCGCTTCTATTTTACTTCCTGTGAGTGCCCTCAGGCCTTTCCACAGTACCCGTGTGATGATTCACGGTGCTTTGCGGGGAAGGAAATGCATGTCCCTTGCACGGGCATCTTTACTTTTGGGATTTGCCAGTTCTCCTGGCAGCTTCTTCAGCTAGTGTTTTCTACTCAAGAAGAAAGGTTTCCTTGCCTCTTCCTTCCCCCCCCCCCCCCCAGTTTTCCTTGCCCCCTGAGAGAATATCGCCCCTTTGTTTGTTTATAAGTTTCCTCAAAGAGAAAAACGGTACTTGGCAATCAGTAAAATTAGTCAAATAGGAAAAGAAAAGAAAATCAACTCTGAGTCAGCACTGGGAATGTTTCCTAGAAGTATTTCCTGTGGTCCCTGCTCCTCCATGGATCTGTTCTCACTCTGCCTCGCGACTCTCAAGGTTTCTTGGCTGAGTGGCTGTTGGAGGACCAATCTTCGCTCTGCGGGATGGTTTGCCGAGCTGCTGTTGAAAGTTGGGGTGGGGGGAGGGCTGAGCTTCACTGCAGGGCAGTTTGCTCTCTTGCAGAAAAAAAGTTAGCTCAGACTTTCCAAACTAAACTTCGGGTTTCCTCTTGGAAATGGGGGAAACCAGCTGCCAGCATGGCAATTCCAGCGCCGGAGCTGCTTGCGAGCAGGCCGTGTCTAGGGCCAGATTTACCTCCTGCGTGATTAATAGATGCTCTATCAGCCCTGTCCACTGACAAAGAAAACACACTTCATTACTAAAATGTGAAAGAAAAATCTGCGTCTTAGAACAAAATAAGGCCCGTTTGTACTCAGACTGGTCCCTGGACAATGCCTCACACACAGCAGGCACAAGTAAAGGAGACCATCCCTCCCGAGTGGCTGTGTGCAAACTGTTATTAAATTGAGGGGAGCAACATGCTAGGTTTGGAGTGACTGGGCCAGTTCATTGGAAGTAAAAT